GTGCTTATAGGTCTAGAAATGGTGATTTGCAACTCACCATCCTCATTTGAGGATGCCATATTACATAGGGTCTGAATGTCCATGATAAGAAAATTTCTTGCTTGCAAAACTAGAAAGCACTCTGGGTGTCGTGGTTGCACAGGAGAACCAAATGCCGATTTTGTTTAAAATTGAGCCCACAATACTCATGGCTACTACAACACCAAGTGGCAAGCTTTTAGGAATCTTCATCAGAGTTGGACATCAGCTCCACAATTCCTAAGGGGCAATCTCCAAATCTTTCAAGTAAGTTTTTGTTTTTGCTAATACGTATATACATTTCAGATGGGCATCCAATTAGTAGCACGCCGAAACGGAATTAGATTTAAACACGATGGAAGTCGTTTTTTATAAGGACACAAGATAACATTTGTGGCTTGTATTAAGTATTATTCCTAAAAAAATTATTAGGCTGGAATATGTGGCGTTGCTGTCCTTGATTAATGGCAAATTTGTCCAGTTAACCTACGAAACAAAAGGCGTTGACTATAAATTCTTATCGTGCCAATGCATTTGTGTGGAGACAAGAAACAAGGCGAGGCGTGCTGGAGCCAATCTACTAAGTATTGTGGTAAAATATCAAGCCATGAACTCAAAAGTAATATTACTTTTATTTCAAAATCTAGACAAGGTATAACCGATCACCGCGTAAACCGGCAAAACGCACACGAAATCAGAAATACCGCATTCGGCACAGCGAATTCCGCCTTGGTCCGGTTAAACAACATAATTTTTGGACAAAAAATACAAATTGGTTTTAGTCTTGTACTACGTTGTGCACTAGAACAGGTGGAATCGATTCGTTTCGTCACGAATATGATGAAAAGGTGTTCGAGATCTTCGAGTTTACGGACCAAAAATACTTTCGACAGCAATGGGAAGGAAGAAATAGGCTTTATTAAATATATTGGTGTCCTATAGTGAAATATTTATACATTTTATAAGGTCTGCCTAATTTGGCTAACTTAAGTTTTATGTGGGTTTTAATGTTGAATTTACCTAATTCCTCGGAAAACTCAGAATCTGCAATGGATCCCCTACCCAATAATAAATGAGACCGATATATTGTCGTGTATATGTTCATGTGTATGCATCTGC